CACTACCCCCCCCTCAAGAGCGAGGTCCCTTCGAGCGAGTAACTCATTCTGAGTCCTCGGTAAACGCATCGTAGGCGAGCAAGGCAAAGAGATTCCTGGAATACTCTGTTGCAGAGAGCCTTGCTGAGATCTTTGGTGTGGYRTTAGCGGCGATCTGTCGCTCGTAAGCTTTAACAACGCGCGGTGCGCTGCGTAGCAGTTCCTGTTTGGAGATCCAGTAGAGATCATCTAACGGGTGATACATGAAATGAACCTGGTACTGTCTGTTTCTCCCTTTACCTACGTGCTGTTTGATTCTATCTATCTCATGCCCGCCCTTGATTGCGCGAGGGATCATATCTTCGCGGTAATCGAATGTATCGGCGTCACGATGGAGATTCAGTTTAGATGCATGAAACATGGGATACGTGCGCAGGTGAGCTGGCACGTCTACAAAGTACGAAGGGCCAAAGTGATCTTCCCCAATGAGATCCAAAACTTCCCAAGGCCCGTAGTAGAGTGGGAGGAGTTTGCGTGAGACTCCCTCCTCCTCTAAGAATTCAGACATCTTTACCCAGACATAACTTCCTACCTGAATCTCCGATGGTTTGCGCTTCTTGTTCGCATGATGAATCATGGCATGTTGTCGCTTGGTCATAGCTGCAACAACAACTTTGAGCAAGCGATCATACTTAGCCTTGAAGCCGGGCCTGCCGGGTGTTAAACCAGCTGGCTGCTCAGGGAACAAGTAGGAGAGCGGATTGCGGATCTGCCACCCGTAGTGCAGCCTGTTGGGCGTCGTGGCGGTGGCAGAGTGGACGGAGTTGTTGTACAACCCCTTGACAAAATATAGCTCCTCATCCCATGTTTCCTGATCAGGAATGATCAAAGCACGGAGTAGTTGGAATACAGTCTGGTTGATCTCCTCAGCCAAACCGTTGGCTTCGGGGTGTCGGCCAGATGTCATGCACAGTTTGATTCCTAGGTGGGACGTGAACTCCTTCCATTCAGCGCTAATGAACCGCGGGTCCCCATCGCTCACAAGAGTCTTCGGGGTTCCGAATTGCAGCAGGTATTTCTGCTGGAATTCACGAACCACTAGATCTGTTGGGGCGTGCGGTGGTAGAGGGATCAGATTAAGAAACTTTGAAAATCGGTCAACAATCACCATGACTTATGAAAACCCATTCTTGCTTATCTTACCCATGTCGGTGAAATCGATGGAGACAGACTCCCCGGGACCATCAGGAATGGGTAGGGGTATGAGTAGCCCCATGGGCTTTTGTCTGCATGGTTTGATTCGTTGACAGACTTGACATTCAGCTATAAATTTCTCAGCAGTCCCTTTCATACCAGGCCAATCAAACTGTCTCAGCAAATTAGCGTACGTTTTAGCAATGTCGAAGTGCCCGCTCCGGCCATGAGCCAAGTCCAAAAAGTGTGTGCGGAGAGGCTCATGGTTGGGTACACACAAACGGTCATGGTTCCCGTATCGGCGAAAAATCAGTCCTCCATACTCGTGGAAATCAGGCTGACTACTAGGATCAGCCTGCAGCTGCTCAAGGATGGAACTAAGTTCCGGATCCTTGGCTGTCTGCTCTACGAGTTCCTCCTTCAGTTTCTTCCAGAGGTCGTAGGATTTCACAAGGCAAGTCATGTACTCAGGGTGGCGACACAATGCGTCAGCGACTCGATTGTAACAACCCTTTTTGTGTCTGAGTTCAAAGTCGAAGATGTCAATCTCATGAAACCAGCGAAGCAAGGTAGGGGACAGAGTAGTCTGCATTTTGATCCACTTCAAGGTCTCATGATCCGAGAACACTTTGAAGTGGCGTCCCAACAGGTAATGTTTCCAGTGATCCAATGCCATGCGCAAAGCGTAGAGCTCGCGCATGTAGT